AAATAATGGTTTCAGAATTTAATTCTGTTCTTGTGCTATAGGTACTGCAAACAGCTAACAATCTTGAGGAGGTAACTGAAAATGTTGACTACTACGTCCAGGGAAGTACAATTGCTGCCGGAAATTTGTTTGGAAGGTGCCCTTGCCTAAGACTCTTAATAACATATAATATTTTTCACCCTCTTTCTGAATACATAGTAAATTCATTTTAAGTGTTTAACAAGCTATATGTGTATATATTATAAATTTGGTTAGTGCAACACTAGGAAAGGAAAGTAATTATTTGGTGATTTACTATAACTCTTCTAGTGTTGGCATTCCCAAAAATAAGAGTTTGTAAGTAATTCAGTTAACTGAATTTTAATAGACTAACAGACCAATGAGAAACTCAACTTAAATGAGTATCACAATGAAATGAAATGGACAAACCTATAATCTTGAAAATAAAAAACGAGAAATGTGGAAGAACAATGTGTGGAGAAATCCTGAAAGAAGCGACAATTTTTCATTAATTTAATAATTTTATTTTACCATCAAGTATATAGAAGTTGTTTGGGGGGTGGAGGGAGGCACAAACTGGCTTCTTCTCTGGTTTTAGGAGTCTTAGGTCACATGGATTATGCCTGCCTCTGGACTACCACGTAGTCTTGTTAAATTATGCAACAATATATTCTTAAACATGAATAATGGTCAAATATATGATGAAATAATGACGATTGGTTATGGGAGCTGCAGTTCTTCACTGATCAGCAATTATACAACTCGATGGTATTGGTGTTTTTCATCTTTAGATATCTTAAAAGTAGAGGTTGCTTCTTTGATATTTTTTTTATTTATTTATTATTAGATTTTGGTTTGATTCTAGAGGATTAATAGGTGGAAACATTTTGTTTGTACTTTTTAAGCAGACGGCGAGTTATCCAAATATTTGCTCATGGCGCTCGGATTCTTGATGGTGCTTTTATGACTCAAGAATTGAGCTTTAAATCTTCTCATTCAGACACGGTTGCAGCTGCTGAAGGGACTAATGTGTCATCTGTTTCTATAGCTGATCCTTATGTGTTGCTGAGGATGACTGATGGAAGTATTCAGCTTCTTGTTGGAGGTATTTCTTAAAGACAATTATTAAGAGTTGGAATATTTTTCAGGAAACTGAAGATAATATGTTATGTATTCTATTTTTTTCACATCTAAATTCTATTCCATTATAAAGAGCATCAGTTCATCAGATCCCCCAAAAATGTTGCAACACCGCCATTGTACCGCATATTGCAATTTGCACAGTAAAACATAGTAAATATGGACCACATGAAAATGGGTTGTGCCACCCATGCATACCTCCATATTTGCTTCTAATTCAATTTTAGAACATCAAGTTCTACTTCATTTGTAAGATCCTAAATATCAAATTATTCATTATGACTGTTGATTTGTTTTTTTATCTGAATGAAATGTTACTAAATTAAGAGTTTATTTTGATTAAGATCTAATGAGTTACGTTATGTAGATAAACTCAAGATTTTCATGATTAGGCAACTTAATATTCGTGACTTTGTTGTAACTAGAAACAATAATTGTGCCGGTATTGACATTTCAATTAAATATTATCTGTTTGGTCATCTTGAAAATTGAAAGAGAATTAATCACTGTATAGTATTATTTCTGTTTGCTTATTTGGAAAGAGAAAATTAATCAGGTATAGATAGATTGTTACTTTTTGATTAAAAACTTCTCTAGTGCATGGTGTATGATGATGTCAATAATCCCAGTCTAGTTACCGCCATAAAAGGTTCGACAGCAATTTGGGGATGGAGGATATAGCATGATTTCTGTGTCTCTGTAAGTCGTAGACAGTAACTTCATGACCAAAAATGAATGTTGTTTGTAAACATGTTTACATGTGTGTCTGTTCGTATGTGTGAGAAACTCTATCAACCATTATCAAAGCCTTGTAATATGGATTTTTCTTGGCAAGCAATTTTCTGCGGAACTGTACTTATTCTTATCTTGATTCTTGTTCTGCTCTGTCAGATCCATCCACATGCTCTGTTTCTGTCACCATTCCACCAGTATTTGAAAGCTCCAGTAAAGTGGTATCAGCTTGTACTCTCTATCATGATAGAGGGCCCGAACCATGGCTTAGGAAAACGAGTACCGATGCCTGGCTTTCTACTGGGATTGGTGAGGCTATTGACGGAGCAGATGGCGTTACACATGACCAGGGTGATGTATACTGTGTCCTGTGCTATGAAAGTGGAAATCTCGAGATACACGATGTGCCCAATTTTAGCTGTGTTTTCTCGGTTGATAAGTTTGTATCTGGAAGTAGCAACATTTTGGATATGTTTTCTCACGGCCCAGCCAATGATCCAGTAAAACTCACGAACAAATATTCTGAAGATGATGGAAATGGAAGGAAAGTGACCCAACACGGTATAAAGGTCGTTGAGTTGTCCATGCAGAGATGGGCCGGAGAACATAGTCGTCCATTTTTGTTTGGAGTACTGTCTGATGGTAGCATTCTTTGTTATCATGCTTACATTTATGAGGTTTCGGAAAATACTTCCAAGTCTGAGGTTAATGGTAGCAACATAAGTTCATCGAGACTTAGAAACTTACGATTTGCCCGAGTACCCTTGGACAAATATGCAAGAGAGGAGACACAATCCGGAATCTCATCCCAACGCCTAACTATTTTCAAGAATGTTGGTGGCTTGCAAGGTTTTTTCCTCTCTGGATCAAGGCCCTCGTGGTTCATGGTGTTTAGGGAGCGGATTCGATTGCATCCGCAGGTTAGTTTGGTTCAGTAAATCCACAATGATTTATGGATTTCAGCTTATAAATAATTTATTTCATTGTTCCAGTTGTAACCAATCTATCATTAGAACTTACGGAATCATTTAACTTTTGTTTCAGGTTTGTGATGGACCCATAGTGGCCTTCACTGTTCTTCACAATGTGAATTGTAATCATGGGTTTATATATGTTACTTCAGAGGTTGGCTAATTGTACCATTTTATTCAAATTTTGAATTTTATTATTCTTACGGGACTGTTATTATGTATTTGTGTTAGTTAGGCACCCTCTCCCTTTGAGCTAGCTTGGGGATGAGTTCTTCCCTGGTGCATGAACAGGAAATTAATTTTTGCTTTCTTTTCTTTTTTCTTTTTTGTATTCTCTTTAGGGTGCTCTGAAAATATGTCAACTTCCAGGTTTATTGTCGTACGACAACCATTGGCCGGTCCAAAAGGTTAGTTAACGTCTCTCTGTCTCGCTGCAAATTGATTCTGTTGAGCTAATATGAAATACCTTCTATGTCAGTTCTTTGTACCTTGGCTTTATACTGTTTTATCTGAAAATTTGCAGATAGCATTGAAGGGTACTCCACATCAAGTTACTTATTTTTCTGAGAAAAACTTGTACCCGCTCATAGTTTCCGTTCCAGTGAGTTTTT